ATCTGAGGACTGGTTCATTATTTCATTTTACCCTTAGGGAGTGCCAACAAATTGCTCAACATATTAACATCACAGTCCAGGGCTTTCCAAAGATTTTTCTGCAAACCCCTGGCTAGCTCTGTGAGAGGCTATAATAAATGGAGGGGTATGCAATTAAATGTTTGGGAAATGATGTCCGGCCTCCTTCATCCTAGACATTCACAATGCACGTCTGTTTATTTAAGGTTCTGAGATACCCTGAATAAAGAAAGTTGCTTATTTAACTCAGAGATTCCCAAATTTATTTAGCCAGGAATCTTTTTTGCATGTAACACTTGTTAACAATTGCCTAGAACTTGAGAACCATGGATTACAATATGAAAACGCCCAGAGTAGTATTTCGTTACTGATATGTCTTCTTTTGCTTACATTCTGGCTCAGATTTATGAAGAAAATAAATCAGCATTTAAAAAATTACTGCATAAGCAAACAAATGTTTAATCCCCCAGAATTCTACCATTCTAACATATCAGCTGTTTAAAACTTTCCAGGCTTCCCCTCTCCAGTATTACTCTCAGTATTATTGCCTTTTCTACATAAGAACTCAAAGTATATCTATTCCATTAGGCCATGCCACAAAGCCCAAGGCACTTTTTTTTTTTTGCATCTGCATTTGCATATTTCTCACTCATGTTTTCTTTTTAATTTCTATCATTTTCTATAAATAGGAGAAAGGAGTTAGCTGAAAAAACAAAACAAAACAGGAGAAAGCACTCCAGGCTTTGGAATTTTTGGATAATGTTGATGAGATGTGTGCAAAATACTAAGAAAAAAAATCTATGAAAAAAACCCCTGGCTTTCCATAACACTTAACCATGTCGGCTGTAATCTTATCCACTCCTGCCACTCACCCCAGTGCATTTATCTCTGTTGAAAACCTTCAGCCCTGGTCTAAATCTCCTAACCTGTATATTTGCTTTGATAGACTTAAAGGGGAAAAAAATCCCCACACATATGACATCTCCGTATGTGATAACACATTAAGGTTATTGGACCTGTTCCCAGGATATGTTTATTCTTGTCTGTGTGATAGATTAGATTAATTTTCTTTCTTAAACAGCCAAGTGCAATTAAGAGGTCTGTGATGATGATTGTAGGTACAGCTCAGATAGTGTGTAAATCCTATGCGTAAATCCCACCACCCTGCAAAGCTCGCGCGTGACAGACGGAGCAGACAGGGCCCTTCCCCGGGGCTCCACTGCGCCAAACTTCCCGAGGTGATGAAAACAGCCGCGGGTGGCACTGCCTGGGGCCGATGATCTTCTGCTTTGTTAATCATCACAGGACTCTTCCTAACACCTTCTGAGTTTAGATAAAAGTCACTGAAATGTTCCATGAGGCTAACTCTGACCCGACTAAAGCAACACTTCAGTTGAAAGAAAAAAACATTCTATGACGTTAAGTGCAGGGTAAAAGGAAGATAGCAGATGAGTTCCTGGTGGTTACAGTGAAAACCTGTGTTCACTTAGGTCTTCAACCTCCACCTGGACAGCTCCCCGTGGGTGTCCAGTGCCACCCCAATTCAACGTGTCCACATCCAAACCCCTTATCTTCCTGTCCTGGCAACTGGTAAATGGTACTCTCATTCCGCCAGTCTACTTGACCAGAAACCTGGAAATCAGCCCCAAACTCCCTCTCCCTTCGCCCCCAGGGTTAGAGATCAGCAACTTCTGTTGTATCTCCCCTTATCCACAATTCTGCCTTCCGCAGTTTCAGTTACCCTCGGTCAAGCCCTGTTCAAAAATATTAAATGAAAAATCCCAGAAATAAACAGCTTATCAGTTTTAAATTGTGTGTCATTCTGAGTAGCATGATGAAATCTGCGCCACTCCACACCTGCCCGCCAGGAATGTGAACCATCCTTTTGTCCAGTGCAGACGTGCTCTGTGTGTCACCTGCCCGTAGTCACTTAGTAGCCGTCTGGGTGATCAGATTTACTGCTGCAGAGCCTGGTGTTCAAGTAACCCTAGTTTTACTTAATAATGGTCCCGGAGCATGAGAGTAGTGATACTGGCCATTCAGATATGCCGAAGAGAAGCCTTAAAGTGCTTTCTTTAAATGCAAAGGCATGTACTTATAAGAAAGAACATAGTATATATAT